TGCTTAATAAAATCCTTATAGGGACGATCAGTTCATTGAGACAGCATGAACATTTGAAGTTCAAAAACATAGAACAAGTACTTAGAGGAGCAGTATTACCAGAATTCTAGAGGTACAAAAACGTAGGGAATGCATTTTCCTGAATTCCCCTATTCAAGGGTAGGTCCAGGCTGTAGCGAATACGAGAAATTTAACAAACAGAGAAAAAATAAACATTGAGGTGCAGCTTGAGCTCGTCCTATTTTCATTCGGGAGGACTCTGGTTAAGGAAAACAGGGTAATGGCATCTCTTTGGCTCTTTGCAGCAATGGCCTTCATCACATATGTACTGCTGGCGGGGATGACACTGGGCATTCAGAAAAGGTCAGTGCCAACCCCCTCCCCATTCCTGCTCTTCTCCACAGCAGCCTAGGGGATCTGTGCCAGGTCCCAAGCCCACTCCCAGCCCCCAGTCTCACACCTGCCCCCCGCCCCCCTGGCCACAGGTTCTCCCCAGAGGTGCTGGGCCTGTGCGCAAGCACAGCTCTGGTGTGGGTCGTGCTAGAGGTACTGGCCCTGCTCCTGGGCGTCTACCTGGCCACCGTTCGCAGTGACCTGAGCACCTTCCACCTGTTGGCCTACAGCGGCTACAAATATGTCGGGTGAGCACCTGGGAGCCCAGCGGGAGGCTGGCCTTGGGGTGGGCTCTGGGCCCTGGGTTCCTGGCCTGCACAGCCGTAGCCTGGAACAGTGACCCTGGACGTGCCCCTGCCCCTCTCCGCCTCTGTCTCCTCTATTAGAGAGACTGTTTCCAGCAGTCGCTTCAGGAACGGGTAGTGTTGTCAGGGGGGAATGTACAGTCCGTCACCATGGGAGCACAGGGGAGAGGGGCTGGAGCTGGGGCAGTGAAGGAGGTCTCAGATCCAGGTCCTGGGCTGAGTCCTGGGCCTTCAGGATTCATTCTGAGTCTAGGTCCCTGTGGGGACAGACGGGGGGTAAAAAGTCCTGGGTGGTGGTGGGTGGGGTCTACGTTGGGCTCTGGGCCCTGGCTGGTGGGGCCAGTCTCAGGCCTGGACCCTTGTGGGGTCTCCAGCCTGCTCCCCACCCTGGCCTTGCAGGATGATCCTCAGTGTGCTCACGGGGCTGCTCTTTGGCAGCGACGGCTACTACGTGGCGCTGGCCTGGACGTCGTCTGCGCTCATGTACTTCATCGTGAGTCTGGCTGCCCCCGCCCCGTCCTCCCCAGGTTGGAGCTGGGGATGAGCCCTCCTCCGCCCGTCAGCTGCAGCTCTCCTTTCTTCCAGGTGCGCTCTTTGCGAACAGCAGCCCTGGGCCCCGACAGCATGGGGGCCCCGGCCCCTCGGCAGCGTTTCCAGCTCTACCTGACTCTGGGAGCTGCAGCCTTCCAGCCCCTCATCATATACTGGCTGACCTTCCACCTGGTCCGGTGACCCCTGGCCCCCACTGGCATTGATTTTTCCATACATTAAAGATTTGATTTCCTTGATTTTGTTTGACCCTTGTTTCTGGGGCCTGAGGGGGGGGGGTTGCTGGCACCTTTGCAGTGTCCAGGGGAACAGGTTTGGGACTGTCTAGAACAGTGGTGCTCAACCTTGGCTGCACATTAGAATCACCTGGGAATCTTTTGAAAATCCTGATTTCTGGGCCTCATCCTCCGGAAATTCTGTTTCTTTGTTATTGATGTGAGGTCACACCACTCA